AGAATATTATTAAAACATTTCTTTATAATATAATAATAATAGGAAAAATAAAAAATATTAGATAGTTACAGCCCAAAACGATTGATTCTGAAGAATAAAAAAATGATAAAAATAATAAAAATTAAAAAAGCATACCTTTCTTATTTTCAACCTGAAGGAATTATGAACTTAAAAAAAATTTAAAAAAGGTAATTTTAAATGAAAAATAAAAAAAGAAATTGCATAAATAAATAAAAAAATCAAAAAAATCTCACCTATCACTGAAAAATTAAATCATCTGCCAATACTCTAAAGCTTCACATCCTATCCAGTGTATAAAATTTAGATCAAAAATCATGTACAGAAGTTATATTAAAAATAGAAAATTAATGCATGTATTATATGTACTTCTATTTTTATAAATAATTTATCTATTTTTAGTAATTATTTGTACACATTTTATGTTCTGTAATATGTGTACACAAAAATTTAATGTGCATATGAATTTTACACACTGATCCTATTTCAATAAACTTCTATAAAGATATAATACTATAAGCATACGATCATTCTTGATATTAAACTGATATAAGAAATTATTGTAAATCACAATCTCTAAATTTTTAAAATAATAAACTCTTTAAAAATAAGCATCCAGTATTGAAAGATGCATGCTACAATCATAATTATCATGTATTTTTACTAACTTTTTGAATTCTTTGACTAAAAGATTTTATAAGTTTTAAGTTATTTAAAAACACTAACTTAAAAATTCAAAAAAAAAGAGCAATATCGAAAAAAATTTGAAAAAAATTATATTAAAAAATTTTGTTTATTGATATTAATAATCATCAGACAAATCTAGTGCTATATAGATCAAAATTTTCAATTAATGGAATCGACATCATACATCACTAATTAAATTTATTGATTTACTATAAAAATTACAAAATCGTTAAAGTTTAAAGTTCTATAAAAAACTATTGGCTGTATCATTCAGAAGTATAACCTTAATTATGAATTGAGAAAAACCTTTTTTAAAGGTAAATATATTATTGCACCCTTTACTTTATACTTAGTTCAAAAGGATCTTGACTATAAAGTTAGCATAAAATTTCATATAAATTTCTAAATCCTGAAATGTCTTTGGATAATACATATAAAAATACTTTAGAAGCTTCAGGAATATTTAATGATAATAACGAAACTGAAAACAAGAAAACTGTTACTTTTACTTTGGATGAAGAATACTTAAAAAAAATCGTTAACGAACTATAAGATACAAGTGAAACAGATGATGTATCTGATGACAATGATTCAACACCAGAATCAAACTTGGAAGATAATGACATAATTATCGAATAGAAAGAATCCAAAACTTTAACCAGATGTATCATTGTTAATAAAATAGATGAATGTATTAAAAGGTATGAAAATTTGAAAAGTTTTCGAAAATTATGACAGCTTTGTGGTGTATGGCAAATAGATGGAAAAAGTATTATTGAAGCAGATGGCATATTGGCACAGGTTAAAGCAGCTCCATTGTCCAAAATTAAAATTTCGGGTTTTTTTGAAAAATGCTACATTGTATCAGACAATTTTTCACATAACATTTTACAACATTATCTAAATTTCAATTTTGCATTTTTTAGAAAAATGCTACATTGTACTGAACAATTTAGTGTAATTTTTTGCAATATTATATATTCAAATTTTGGTGTTTTGTAATATTATCCGTTCAAATCTTGTGCTTTGTAATATTATTTGATTCATAAATTACATGTTTTTTTAGAAAAATGTTATATAATACCAGACAATTTTTGTAAATTGAAATTTATTTTAATAAATGAAAAATTTAAATTTAATAATAAAGTTTTTAATTTTTTAATATAAATTAAAGATTAAATCTTCTATTTAATGGTAAAACTGCCAAATATTCAGTTCATTTATATTTAAATTTAGCTGGAACAAACCTACCTAATATGTGATGAACTGAAATAATGCTATCAACAGAAGTATTAAAAAATTCTTTTTTCCAAAATTCTGGATCATTTATAAAATCATCAGAATCTTCATTAGCAAAGAGAAATCTAATATCTGCAGTTGCCGCAGGTTTATACTACTTCACAAATACTAGATAATGTTTTGATGAACTATTTAAAAGATGAATCGTATGTTCAAAATAAAATTGCACTTGGCCAGGATATGTATCTATATCATTATCATGTTGATTTATAAAACGCGCTAAAATATAAGAGTTTCTAATATGTCTTTTGGATAATATAGATCTGAAATATTCTGCTCCAATGTGTAATCTGCTATATTATGTGACTTTCCTAGTAACAGCAATGTAATTTTCAAAATCTGGTAAAGAAAAGTCTAATTGTGGTTGACAGAAGTTATATTCAGTATAAGCACGATTATAATAGTCAATTAGCAAGTTCAAAAGGTTATTTGATAGTAAAATATCTTTTTTTATTAGTGATAAAAAATCTCCAGGATAAATTTCTGCTCCTGTTATTCCACTAGAAACTAACTCTTTAGATATATTCAAAAATGCCTGTAATTCTTCACTTTCAAAAGATTCGCTTTTATCAACAGATTGATCATTTTCTAAATTGAGTATTTGAAATATACTTTGACGATTTAATGGTAACATATTGAATTTTCGTTTAATTTGTGAACTTTGCATCATAAATCGCATAATTTCTGATTCTATTTTTTGTCTACTATTAGGTAAACTTCCTGTATATATAATTGTAGAATTCTAATCAATAATTTGAAATGATTTGAAGGTTAAAATAATCGTAAATACTGACCAAGAATTCCATTCATCTACTCAAACGAAAAATACCAAAATGAGTAAAGAGGTCTGTAATCTTTACAACATTCATTTAAATGTAATAAAAGATGTAAATTTGGCGTTATCAAATTCTCTCCATAATTAATTTCGATAAGTCTCAAAAGTTTAATTAAATGATCATATGCAATATTTAAATTTTCTACTGTTACTATTTTTTGAATTAATATAGAATAAGCCTGACTAAAATGGGTTAATATTTTTCGATCTTCCTGATTTAAAAAATTCCAAAGAACAACTCTAGCGTATATTAAAAGAAATTTTTCCATTCATTGGCCGTTAAATTAGAAAACCCTTCACCAATATCAATTTTATGTGGAATTCGTCCAATTTCTGATGATGGGTGGATATTATTCATATGTTTTTGAATTTTTGTTAAATCCTCTAATGATATTTACCATGTCCTAACCAAAGTCATTTTACGATAAAAGATGCGATTTCGACAAATAAATTATGCATCAGATCTACAGGTAAAAAATGGATTGGATCAAAATAGGGTAAACGGAGCATCTCAGACCATCTCACATGTGTCTTCTTCACATGCCTTTTTCTAGCTTCATTGTTTTACATTTTCTCCATTTTAATGCTGCTTTCTGATGCTTATTCGCATCCTTAGCAATAAACCATTCGTCAATATTATCTATGCCACTAAAGTTTCTATTTCTTGCAACTTTAGTGCATCTGTGACAACATACATTGGCCGACATATGACCACACAATTTTCTGGCGGCTGGTATGTCACAACAACAGGCAATCACTGCATATTTAATTAATCTTCTATTAAATGTTCAAAAGTTCGTTCTAATATTATACTATTCCAGAAAACTAGCAATTGATCAACGATTGGTGCTAAATAATGGTTTATCTGGTGTAAACTTGCTTTATTAGGACCTGGCATTAATCCTAAAATAAGCATATTTTCAGTATTAAAGCGTAATTTTCTTGGAAGATTACAAATAACTCTATATATAGCACCACTACTATAAACCGTTCTTTCAAATGGTTGGAACCAGTCAATATTGATTATAATACTTAAATGATCATCTGCATGTTCTTTATTGAAAAATTTTTCTTCATCTGATATTTCCTCTTCATTTGCATTATATACTATTCCGCTATTTAAAAAATTTTTTCAAATTTCATCATCATATATATCACATAGTATTTTCTTTCAACATTTCGATCAGCCCATAATTTAAGATTTTTTTCAAAATCTGGCTTTTGGTACATATGTAGAAGTTGATTTTTTATACTGGCTATTGGATAAATCAATAATGGTGAATTAACAATCTTATTACCTCCTAGTTCTTTTTGTTCTGATAAAAGAGTATCGCATTTTCGAAGAGAATGATGGTGATTATTTGGAAATTGTATATGATCACATTTTTTTATTACTTTCTGCTCACAAATTGTATGTTGTTCAACATCATCTATATTATGTAACTTATGACATGAAGAGCATACAGAGAAAGTAACAAATTGATGCTTCAATTTCAATTTCTTTCTTGTAGTATACAAAGAAGTAGGAAAATTTTTAAACTGTTCATGATCTAATTCTGTTAAAACATGTTTAATAAATTTAATTAACGTATCGATTGCAATATCTGGTAAACGAAATCTAGTTTGAAATCTTAAAATAAATACGATAATCCAATCTTCATCAATATTTTGTAAATCATTAAAATTTTCTGGAAAATCATAATTTGGGCTGTAACTATCTAATATTTTTTATTTTTCCTATTATTATTATATTATAAAGAAATGTTTTAATAATATTCT